TAAAATAGTTCTCCCTTTTCCAACTACATGGTGGCCAGATTTTCTTCGTGTGCTTTAACGAAAACATATTGTAACACACTGAATACAAAAGCAGATGTGCAACTCAATTTTACTTTTTAAAAAATAATTATTTATTTATTTGGCTGCCTCGGGTCTTAGTTGCAGCATGCGGGATCTTCATTGCAGGATGCGGGCTTCTCTGGCTGCGGTGCGTGGGCTTAGTTGCCCCACAGCATGTGGAATCTAAGTTCCCCGAACAGGGATCGAACCCGAGTCCCTTGCATTGGAAGGCGGATTCTTAACCACTGGACCACCGGGGAAGTCCCGAGACTCAGTTTTCATTTAAGCCAGACAGTAAAGAGATTTGCAAAAATGTGAAACAACGCCACTCTTCTCAAATTGGGAGGGGGTTGTTACTTTTCATTAAAAGTATGTTATTTAGGCTTACTGTTAAAGTAACAAATCTTTTAAAAATTTTCTAGCACATCAATACTCCCACAGGTGAACTTGTCATTTCAAGGAAAACTGAGTGTTTGTTGCAATATTACACATGCGCTTTCAAGTAAAAATTGAGTTTTGGAAAACTAAACATTCACCGCCATTAGCAGATTACAGAAGTTCTTTGGGAGTCTCAATTTTAGGTGTAAAATAGGAGTTGGTGAACTTTTACTAAAGGACCAGATAGCAAATATTTTAAGCTTTGTAGGCCATATGATCTCTCTTACAGCTATTCAGTTCTGTCAGTGTTGCACAGTAGCCTGAGACAACACGTAAACAAGTGAATGTGGCTGTATTGCAGGAAAAGTTCATTAACAGAAGTAGGTGGTGGGCTACATTTGGCCCACAGGCCGTAGGTTACCAACCCCTGCTGTAAAGGGACTCTGAGGCAAAAAAATTGGGAATTGCTGCACTAGACTTAACAACTAGATGGTATAACAGATTTTAAGATGTTCAGGGAATTCTCTGGTGATCCAGTAGCTAGGACTCCGTGTTTCCACTGCAGGGGGCACGGGTTCGAGGGAACAAAGATCCTGCATGCTGCGCGGTGATGCTAAAAAGAAAAATAATGTTCAGCTCTAACTAGATTTTTAGGAAGTTAGCCATTTAATGGCAAAAGCCCAGCAAACTAATGTCATTTTGTTAAACAGATGGCTTAAATAGAAAGACACTGTTCATAGATGGTATGATGTCATAAAAATGCCAGTTCTGATTAATATTCCAACAGGATTTGAGGGGGATAGAAAAATTGATTCTAGAATAAGTTCATATGGAAATTATGAATTTCTAAGGCAATTTTAAAAGCAGAGCAAAGAACTTCATCAGATACTGTCACACCATAATCCATAGTAATAAATAATAGATGCAGTAACAGACAAAAAGATCAGAATAAAGAGCTCAGAATCAAGCCCATGTACATATGGGAATCTGATACATGATAAAAGTGGTTTCAAAATCATTGGGGAAAGGATAGAGTACTTAAAAGTTGGTGCTGGACAAACCTACATTTTACAGAGAAAAGTAAATATGGATCTCTGTCACCGTATACAGAAAATAAATTGCTTTAAAGGTAAATCTGTAAACTAATGAAAATGTAGACTATATTGTGAGTAGGCAAGTATATAATTAAGACCTATGGCCCTCGTTAATTCCTTCTAACTACAATTTGAGTTGTTCTCTTTCCCCCTTGAGGTTCATCTCCACCGGACTTGAGGGACTACAATAAACATCCTACAATTTGACCTTTTACATCTGTATCCAGAACAAAACCAAGACCTCCTAAAGCACAAACCATAAGCATAAGGTGAAAATTGATAGGTTTTATTTTGTAACCATGGGAAAGACTGAATCAAGAACTATCAATGGATGTTAAACCTTAGGAAGAAGTTTTGGCAAGGAGTAGAATATTTGCTTGGCCTTAAAGTGGCTCCCCACAGATTGCCGATTAGTTGCAAGAGAAAAATAGCACCTCTATACTGGAGAAACTGGCAGCCAATTAGGTAAAATTATTGTATCCATGTTATATTTACTGAAGTTGATAACTAATGTGGGTGTTTAAGGCTATCCTTAGAGGACTTCCCTGGTGGCGCAGTGGTTAAGAATCCACCTGTCAGTGCAGGGGGCACGGGTTCGAGCCCTGGTCCTGGAAGATCCCACATGCTGCGGAGCAACTAAGCCTGTGCGCCACAACTACTGAGCCTGCGCTCTAGGGCCCGTGCACCACAACTACTGAAGCCCGCGCGCCTAGAGCCGGTGCTCTGCAACAAGAGAAGCCACCCCAATGAGAAGCCCGCGCACCGCAACGAAGAGTAGCCCCCGCTTGCCGCAACCGGAGAAAGCCCGCGCAAAGCAACGAAGACCCAACAGAGCCAAAAATAAAAAGACAATATCCTTAGGAAATACGCACTGAAGTATTTAAGGGGAAAGGGCCGTGTATATGTATGCAGCTTGCTAGCAAAACAACCAAGGATAATTAAAAAAAAAAGAGGTACAGCTAGGATTACAAATGATAAATGGGGTAAAATGTCAATGATAGGTGAGTTTGAGTAAAGGGCATATGACTTACTTGTAAATTCTTATTTGTGCAACTTTTCTGTAAGTTTGTGGTTATTTCCGTGTAAGAAGCTTTTTTAAATGGATTGATTTTGGCATAAAAATTGACGTTTTGCTAATCTTAGAAAACGTTAGTTGACTAGCGTGAAATATTTAAGCCCACAAGGATTATCTAGAATACAAAAAACCTGGAAATCAACAAGAGAAAGACAAGTAGCCCAATAGAAAGACAGGGATTGAACAGGTAATTTACAGAAGAGTAAACCAGAATAAATGGTTAATCTCTTTCTTTTGATGTGGACCATTTTTAAAGTCTTTACTGAATTTGTTACAATATTCTGTTTTATGTTTTTGGTTTTTTGGCCTCCAGGCATGTGGGATCTTAGCTGCCACAGCCCCTGCATTGGAAGGCGAAGTCCCAGTTAATCTGTTTCTGACAGATTTGTATACAGTTGCAATGGATAGATGTTGAAAACAATTCCAAGCAAGGAAAAACAGAATGATGGTGTGCCTTATCATTTACATAAATTTAAACCACGCGTATCTTCACTATATGTTTGAAAGTAGAACTACAAAAATATATTAAGCAGGAGGTATATATGATTGAAGAGAGGAATGCAAGTGGGAATAGAAAATAAACAGAAAAAATAGAATCAAAAGAGAAAAAAATAGAATCAAACTAGACAGGGGTATTCTGACAAGTCAGCAAGCCCTGAGCTCAGGAGGTGGATGAGTTATAAGCTCGTACCCAAGGTCTGTAAGACCAAAAGAAGAAAAAAAGAAAAAGTGAAAACAGCTCCCAAGCCCTAATTAACTTGTCTCAATCTTATTGAGTTGGAAGCAGTTTTCATTACAAACAAGGGGCCAGCCCCAGCTTGCCCGCTTTTCTGCTCATTTGTGTCTAAACTCCCCTTCTGGCTTTCTCACCATAGCTGCGCCCTACTCCTAGCACACCTTTGGGAGTGTCATGAACACGTTCATCACATTTTTGTGCCAACAGAGGGACTCTTCCCAAGCTTTTCACTAAGAATCTGGTTGTCAGTTACTGAGGGTTTCAACTTGTTTTTTTTTTTTTTTTTGTATAATTTACACACCATAAAGTTCACCCGTTTAAAATGTACAGTGGCTTTTAGTATAGAGTCAACCATCACTATAATGTAATTCTAGAATGTTACCATCACCCTCCCCAAAGAAACCTTGTACCCTGGTTCAGCTCTATTTGGCTTTTTAACCTTGCATTTCTTTCTCCCCCAGGGGTGGAAGTTAAAACCCGGGGGCTGGTCACTGCCCACCAGAGAAACGTGCAGCCTGGGGCTCCCCTGGGGTGGGTTATCACTCGGCAGGCTATATCTGGGTAAACACCTGGAGGCTTGAGCTGGCTCTGCGAAGATGTCTTTTTCAATATGGATATTTTTGAAAAGAAGTTAAGTGCTTCTGGCAGGGGTAAAAGGACATCCAGGGGAAACACACCTCCACAGGCCCGCACACCCTGTCCAGATGCCTACTCCCAAGGCTACACGTTCAGTGCACTCTGATTTGTCTTCCCAGAGATGTTCTCCTCACAGAGATTTCTCTAGTGCATTATTTGCACACCAGGAAGAAGCCATTGAGTAGCGCTCGGGTGGAATCAGCCTGGGATTGGGGGCATGGTTGGAAGGCCGACTGCGTGCCCCTCCTCTTCCTTGAAGGTCCACCAGTCTGGCTTCCTGGAGCCCCTCGCTGCGGTGAGGGAAGACCTAGCGCCTGCCACCCGTGCACCCCTGTGCTTGGAGGGAGGCATCTGCACATGTGGCACTGGCCCAAGCGGCGCCTGCCCGAGGCCCTAAGAGGACCTGTTTCCAGAGCTGCAGCTCTACGTATGTGGATGCCTAGTGTGTGTGAACTTCTGCGAGCCGTGTGAGAACATGTGCGTGCTGGGTGGGCAGGTGTGTACACATGGTGTGTGCGCGCTGTGTTCACACTGCGTGAGGATGTGTGTGCACCCTGTGTGAGAAACTACATCCCATGTATATATAATGCTGAGTGTATGCACTGTGTGGGGACGTGTGTTTACACCGGTGTGTGCATGCTGTGTGTGCATGCTGCGTGTAAGCACTGTATGAGGAACCGTGTGCATGCCGTGTGTGCGTGCGCGCTGTGAGGACTGGTGTGCACATCGAACGTGCACGCGGTGTGTGGGAGCGCTATGAGAACTAGTGCTCACATTGCACGTGCACGCCGTGTACTCGTGCTGTGTGAGGGCTGGTGTGCATATTGCCAAGTGCACGAGGTAGGCGCCTGCTGCTTGAGGACCCGTGTGCACCTCGCGTGTGCACGCGGTGCTCGTGCGCGGCTTGAGAACCGGTGCGCACATCGCACGTGCACGCCGTGGGGGGGACGCGTGCGCGTACGGACGCGCGCAGGTCCGATACGGCGCGGCGGCAGGGGCAGTGCGCCTGTGCGGCCCCGGCATCCCGATGGAGCACGGCGTCGACTGCGGAGCGGCAGCCGGGACGGAGGGGGCTACGCGGGCCCCCCCGCTCCCCGGGAAGATGGCCGAACCGGGCGCGGTGCGGACCTCGCCGCCCAACCACCGGCCTTCAGGTAGGGTTCCCGGGATGCGGCGGGCGTGTGGGAGCCTCAGGCCCCCCGGGCGGGCCGCAAGAGGTAGAGGTTCTGGAGCGCGAGGCTGTGGGGGGCGGGGCGCGGAACTGAGCTAATGTCCTTTCCTCAGCCCGGGGTCGCCTGGGCACGGGATCCCGGGGCCGGCGCCCCTCACGGTGCCGGTGGCAGAGTACGCTCTCGAGTGGCCAGAGTGGGTGGGATTGGGGGTGGCTTAGGGTGGGTGGCAGGTGTGTTTGGCGTGCGGGGACCGGGGCCACGCTTGATGCCCCAGGGGCCCGGGGGGCTGGCCCCGCATCGCGGAGCAGCAGGTGTGGGGGGCACTGGGGCCGACCGAGCGGGCGTGGGGGGTGGCCGGGGCCTGCGCGCCTGCCCAATCTGCGTCTCGGGCGTCGCGCGCGAGGGGCAGCCCAGCTTCATGCTTCGCGGCGTCCCCGGGGGGCAGAACCGGCGCGTCACCCACTGGCAGGGGCGGCCAGCTGCGAGCCCCGGGCCGGGTTCCCCTGCCGCCCGCTTGCGCTCCCGGCGGCCGCGGGTGCGCTGCCCAGGGGTCTGGCGGGGTCGCGGCTCCCTCGCGTGGCAGCGCGACGGATGAGTCCCCCGGCCCTAGAGGCTGCAGCTGCTGGGAGCTAAGGAGGGATGGTCCCCGGATTGGCTGCCTGGAAACGAGCGAAGCAGGGAGAGATTTTGAGGACATTTGGCAGAATTTTAGATAAGCTGGTCTCGCATCTTCTAACGTTCTGTAAAGTGGTTGCAGGTAGTGCGGATGTGTAAGCAACTTGGAAACCGATTTCATGTTTTTCCTGGCAACACCTTTTTTTTTCTTTTTTTTTTAAGTTAGTGTGAGGTATTTTTAAGGCGTGTTTTACCGCAGTATAACGTGCATCCCACAAAAGCGCACAGATCTTAAGTACAGGATTTGGAGAATTATCACATAGTGAAGATCTGCGTGTTTTATGTAAGGTGTAGCAAGGAAGGGAAGGAAATCAAGGGCAATGTTCTTTAGTCACTTAAAACATGGTTTTCATGGGGGAGGGGTATGTTCTGATTGGGCCTTCATTTGCATCATTTCGAGAAGGAGGAGGTGGCTTAAATCTTTCCCAGTTTGCGTTTTTCATCACGCGTTTGTTTTGAAGGCAGAATTTAACAGATATCACAGGATAGTGATATAAATACTAAAAAGATGTACTTCTGTTTTCGTCCTTTTTGTTTGGGAAACTCGGCTGCATGTGCTAGGGAGAAACCCAAATCCCACCCATCCATCAGAACCAGCCTTGGGGGAGGGGGACCTAGTAGAATATAACATTAGAAAAGGGAGGTTGTTAAAGTTCACATTTTTATTTGGTCGAGTTTAAACAATTAGGTCGTATCGATGTTTTAGAGGCAGGGCGGAGCTGTGTGGTTGAGCCTGAAATATCTGTGATATTTTAATTTATTTGAAGGCACTCGATAAGGGGACATCCTTATTAAGTTCTAGTTGGAAACTTTATTGTAGAAAAATAACTTAAAGCTCTTTTCCTTCATTTGAAATTAGAAATATGGAAAGACATGTTGTGTGAAGGTTTAAAATATTTCAGGGAGTTCCCTGGTGGTCCAGTGGTTAAGACTCCGAGCTTCCACCGTAGGGGGCATGGGTTCAATCCCTGGTCCGGGAACTAAGATTCCACAAGCCGCGCGATGCAGCCAAAATGTATATATATATATATATATATATATATATATATATACACACACACACATATATATATATATTTCATAAACTTCTATGTGCATAAGGGTTGATGTGGAATAATTGGAGTGTTCAATTTAGGTGCCAGGTAGTACCGTGGTTTGTTCTTTCAGAGCGGGTTTTGTGAAGCTAGGTACTTAGAAAAATAATGTCATCCTCAGAGAAGTCTTGATTATTGAGTTTTTTTAGTATTTATTTATTTATTTATTTACTTTTGTCCGCGTTGGGTCTTCGTTGCTGTGCGCGGGCTTTCTCTAGTTGCGGCGAGCGGGGGCTACTCTTTGTTGAGGTGCTCGGACTTCCCATTGCAGTGGCTTCTCTTGTTGCGGAGCACGGGCTCTAGGCGCACAGGCTTCAGTGGTTGTGGCTCGTGGGCTCTAGAGCGCAGGCTCAGTAGTTGTGGCGCACGGGCGCAGCTGCTCCGCAGCATGTGGGATCTTCCTGGACCAGGGCTCGAACCTGTGTCCCCTGCCTTGGCAGGCGGATTCTTAACCTCTGTGCCACCAGGGAAGCCCTTTGAGGTTTTATTATAATACATCTTGGCACTGATTACTCTTGGCTGCCCAAGGCCTTATCATTTGGGACCCATTCTTGATGAGAGTGAACCTGCATTTCTTGAGAGTCAACCATTGATCCTAAGCTTGTGCTTAGTGCTGTGAGGGGCAGAAAAGACTAAGAGGCCTGAGGTGTTTAGGCTCTCAGACAATTTCACGGCAGCACAGCTGGGTGATATGGGCCGGCAAGTGGTTTTCCTGGGAGCTGTTGTAGAAGGTCGCAGGGGAATACCTCTCTGGTTGTTTCTTCTAGCAACAGGTTCTTCCAATACTGAAATCCTGTGCATTTTTTCCCCATTACCCACCAGTGATGCTTGCTTTCTTTCCTTTCAGTTACTCCCAGAAGAGAAATTACCAGATGTGCTGTTCTCTTTAGTGCTTGTGTTATATCACAGTATCAGGAATGCGGAGCAAGCGCCTGTTGCTTGGTTCTGCCTCAATACCTTTAGAGGGCAAGCAGAGTCACCAGGTCACCGTTGTCAGGCTGCCTCGCTGTTACACAGGTCCTGGGCACCGCTCAGTCTGAAATGCCCCCTTCTCCCCTTTTCCCTTCGGGCGTTCACTTCCTCTAGGCTTCTCTCAGTCCGAATTAAGGAACTCGTCTTGCCTGTGCCTGCAGCACCTGCAGGAAAGCACTCTTCTTATTCTGCGCGTGTGACGACATAACCTTCCAGTTCCTCTCGGCCGGTGTTCATTGGGTGCGCACTGTGAGCAGGGCCCTGTGCTGGTGGCTCCTGCTGTCATTGGAGCTCGGGCGATCGAGATCCAGACTGCCTGGGTGTGAATGCCGCCTCCCCCCTTCCTGATGTCTCACCTCAGGGAGACACTGCTGAGCTTTAGTTTTCTCACCTTTAAAATGGGCTTAAGAACACCGTGGGGGGTGGGGATAGAAACACTGCCTTGAAGATGAAGGAATTGATATCTGTAAAGCAGTGCTTGACACACAGTAAATGCTGAAGCTGGTTAGCCATTGTCCCTTCTGGTAGATGATTGGCTTGAGGGCGAGGCCTGGTGCAGAGGGTGACTGGATGGTCATCCTACTCCCCCTCAGAGGTTTTTGTCTTTGTTTTTGCGGTACGCAGGCCTCTCACTGTTGTGGCCTCTCCCGCTGCGGAGCGCAGGCTCAGCGGCCATGGCTCACGGGCCCAGCCGTTCCGCGGCATGTGGGATCTTCCCGGACCGGGCCACGAACCTGTGTCCCCTGCATCGGCAGGCGGACTCTCGACCACTGCGCCACCAGGGAAACCCCCCCCCACAGTTTTTTCACGCAACAGGTGTGTAACTGATGTTTGACAATTGCATTATGCATTTCCACTGGGTTGAGGAAATACTCGTGAGTTGGATTAAAGAAGTGTGTCGGTGGAGGAGCTTGAGATAGTGGAATTACAAAGCATGTTTCCTGAGGCTTGTTGAACTTTCCAGTGCTTTCTGCAGGTAAATACTGTTTACTGAGTTCAATCCATTTGCCCATGGTTCCCTGGTAAGGAGGGAATTGCTTTGAGTTGAGACGAGGTTCCCTGCTGTCCTTCCATCTGCCTGTCTTCCATCCCCCGTCCTGGATCAGGAGAATGGAGGGGTGCAGACTGGAGGTTCAGGAGAGCCTCCCCCCAGGGGCCACAGTAGGGAAAAGGAAAGGCTGAGAGTAGGGCCCCAAGAAATCAGAGTTCTTCATCCTTTCTCAAAGTTGCTACATTTAAAACCATTCTTTTTTTTTTGCCACACTGCACGGCTTGTGGGATCTTAGTTCCCCGACCAGGGACTGAACCCGGGCCCTCAGCAATGAAAGCGCGGCGTCCTAACCACTGGACCACCAGGGAAGTCCCTAAAACCATTATTGACCACTGTCATCCTAGAGCTGTTTGGACCAAGAGGAGCAACTTGAGCTTGTGCGTGTGTCGTAACGTTGCAAGTCCCTTCGGCAGTGAGAAGGGCCAAGGTCAGGAGCGAAAGGAAAGAAAGTTGTATTTGATCTGGGGCTTCTGGCTTTGTGGAGTTATGGCACTGAAGGACTCGGACTTGGCAGGACCTTCAGGGAAAATTCCTGAAAGTCTGACCATCAACTGTTTCTTTTCTGATGTACTGACCCTAGTGACCCGACTGGTCAAAGTCTGTCATTTCTATCTCTATCCCTTCTCCCTCTCCACAGTTAAATGACGTTTTCCTCTCATTCAGATGCCCCATCTTCTGCCATGGTTCACTTTTTAAGAGAACATCTTGCCTTCTGTAGTAGTTATACTGATTGACTTATAACACAGTAGGATTTGCAGGGTTGATTTGGGCAGACGAGAGATGTGGTTTTCTGGGGGATGCTGGTCAATAGTCTAGTGGGCTTTGTTGGGAGGATTTAACGAAGTAGAACTCATAATGGCTCAGCATAGTAGGTGCTCACAGGGCAGGCAGTGTGATGATGCTTATGATGGTATTGCCCAGTTCCGGGGGGTGGGGGAGGGAGGGTTGGCATGCAGAGCCGACTCTGGCAGCAGTCTGATAATTTGAAAACTTTCCGTGGTCCTGCCCTCTAGGCTCTTTTGAACGAATTACACCAGAAGAAGGAAGAGGCAGTGGTCCAGGGTGGCTGCCCTTGGGGCGCCGTGGCCCAGGAGGGATTGCTCACCGCCCGGCTCATGTCTGAGGTGACCGCTTTCCAATGAGGAGTCTGCCGGCTCGGCACCTGAGGCTCCGGGGCACGCTGGGCCTTG